GACTAACAGGCTTAGCATGGGAGATCAGACAACACCACAGAAAATGCTGAACTACACCTTTATTTATGACAGGTCTGGATGAGTGTTAATTATTAGCTGAACATAGTATGTTCTAGAGGCTGTTTGCATTACAGCCTGGGAAGGGCCAACTGCATGTAAAATGTGTGTGTTTGTAGGCAGAACAGCAAAGAAAACCACTCTGGAAGAAAATAGGGTGGTTTTTTGTTTGTTTCTCTTCACTACATATGCAGTTTTTATTAATGTCATACAGCCATAATGAGGAATTTGCATGAACTTATTTCGGAGACTATATATTTAAACATCATTTCACTAAGGCAGTGTGGATTAATGTGGTGATAATGTGCAGCAGGTCTGTAGGAAGTGCTGACTACATCAGATACACTTCTTGTTAATAGTTGTTTGGACTTCTAGGTTAGGTCTTTTCTTGTGAAGTGTTTCTGTTGAATCAGTGTAGCAGTTTGCAGAACGGAAAACTGTACGTGGCATAGAACAGAATAGTTTGCTAGATATGAAATGTATTTATTGTTATTTTAGGAATGATAGTCTGAAGAGGTTTCCTTTTGTCAGGTTACAAAATATATTGGAGTTTTAGCTCTGTGAGGTTACTTAAAAGTGAAAAAGAATATTGATGTGTTTTACATAGGACCCTGTACTGTGCCTTCCACTACTAAGCAGCACAAATGTCTTACCATTCTTTAGAGCCATGAAACCGTTCCCTGGGCAGTGTACATGCATTTTGCCTATTTCCACATATTTCCATTTAGCTGCTTCACAGAGATGCGTATCTTTAAACAAGCTGGCAAATCTTTCAGTGTGATGGCTATAACTATCTCCTTTATTATTTTACAGTCTCACTTTTAACTGATCTACTTGGAAATAGGATAACATAAGTATTTTTGTTGCTGGTTCTCTGGTGGAGAATGCAAGGTCTTGCTAACATTGACCAGGCATTAGCAGATTTCTGAATTAAATCTGCCTTGGGTTTCCACCTTTGTGATATGTGCATCTTTGCAAATTCAATTATTTGAACATTCTGAGTTAAATAACGGGTTAAAGGAAATCAGGTAAAGCATGGAAATGTAGTAAAATGAGAATGAATCACTTTGTAGTGGAATACTCTATGAATAGTCCTCATAGAAAACATGTGGTATGTGGTGCAACATCTGATTTGTATAATTTTGAGGTCACCTCCTTATTTGACCCTGAGTTAAATGATTCGATCAAGGCAAGGAGCCTCTCCTTTCACAGGAATGCAGGTTACTTTCCATAGCTGTTCTAGTTTGGTATTTTTGTATTGTTTGGTATTTGTGTCAGCGTTCGACAAAGAAGTATGGCGCAAGGAAATACTGGCACTGGAAAAATGATAGTTGAGTCAGTTGTTAGAACAAAAACATGCAAAATTTGCTGTATTCTAGGGCTAAATCTTGCTTTTCGACTGTGCGTATAGGGACTTCCTAAAAGTCATAGCCAGAAGGAGCCACTTATGATCAGGAAACACCATCTACTTCCCATACTGGGAGAGCTGGCTTTCAGCAAGACTTTCCCATCCTAAGCTGATGAGGCCAGAAAGTGCTTGTTGGCAGGATGGACCAGCCTCACCCCTGTATTATGCTCATTTCTGGCTTGAGTAAAGGCATGTGTGCTCAAAACATGAGTGTATGCTAATGATAAGTAGTGTTGTGGTAGTGCATGGCTTAGTGGTGGACTTGGCAGTGTTAGCTTAACGGTTGGACTCAGTGATCTTAAAGGTCTTTTGCAACCTGAATGATTCTATGATTCTGCATAGATGGCTCTCCTAATGGATATTGGTTTCTGTCGTGGTACTAGATGAGCCGTTATTGTAAGGCTCTCCCAGGGCATGGGAAGAAGGATATGCTGGGATTTTGGTCCCCGTATTATTTACGGGGCCTAATCCAAAGTCACTGACACCAATTTACTCTGGTGGTCTGTGATTACAACCAGAATTTCTAGGTGTCCTGGAAGGAAATGGTTTGATGAATTTATAAAGACATTATTTCACTTCTCTGAAAGTGTGATTGTTAGTGTCCCTACAAACCTGAACCTGCATCCTGATTGATCTCTCAAGTTCATGTTGCAATATTTGCCTACTGTCTATCTATGAATTTCTGAGAATTTTGATGAAGGACAAAAGAGATGTAGCTGTGTTGTAAAAGGATGAAAAGTGAAAACAAGATAAGCTTGTAAAATAAAGGTTGAATTTGTAAGCTTGAAATCCATTGAACTCATGCAGAGTGCAGTGCAATGCAAACCCCCTATTCGAGGTCTGCTAGCTAAGTGTGCCACGGTATTGTCATGATCTGTCGAACCTGCCAGATAAGTAGAGGCTATTTTAAAATTTCTCCTTCAGGGCATGGGGAAGTACTGTTCTTGCAAAGACAGAAATTTCTGATGATGCTAAAAAAAATGCAGATGAAGTGAATAATTAATGACTTCAAGACAGGACTGAAATATCTTCCTAAAATGTTGCTATTTTTAGCAGGGAGTGCTTCTGCAGTGCTTGTCATGGGATCCTATTGCCTTCTGAGAGCAGGAAACCAATTTGAATTAGTTTCTCTTTCCCCATGGACCTACAGACCCAGCATATAATACCCCTTAGCATCTGCTTCTGCCTTAAAGCAGACAAAGTGATTTTAAACCTCATGCAAAATAAAGCACTGATGAAAGCTGTACTTAAAGACCATCTTTATAGCAGCCGAATAGTTTTTGTAATGGTTTGTACACTGAGGCTGTACAAGGGGGCTACTGCAATGTGTGTAACTTTCAGCTGCTGCTGAGGTCCAGTGATATTCATTGCTGCTGCAGTTTGTAGCTGTCGAAGGATGTAGAGGCAATCATCAATAGGAGTTTGCAGGATCTGGCCCACAGATAAGGATTTAATGTAAACAGGTTTGTGGTGCTTTTCCCTTTAACCAGTACGGGGTGTTGCCGTGTTTGAGCTACTTGGCACACTAAAAATGTTATAGTCAGAAACGCCTCTAAAATAAATTGTTATATGCAGCTGGCCTATGCACGTGCTTGTGTTTCTGCACGCGCTGCTCAGCTGGACCCGCAGGGAGGGAAGTCTCCTGGTTGAGCTGCAGGAGAGGGTGCGAGGGAGGGACTGCTGTTTTCTCCACTACTGGCTCCTCCTGCGATTGCAGGTCCTGTTGGGGATTTCTCCTTCCTGAGGGGTGATGAGGTTCCCAATGCCCATCAAAGGGGAAGTCAGGAGCTGCTTATTTGCTGCCTTTCTTACCTACTGGAGTTGCCACAGGCTGAATTTAGAGGAAACCTCCGAATCCCAAATCTTTAGGCACAGAGGAGGACCTTGGCTTTGCAGCCCAGTACCCGATTTGTAGAGGAGCGGAGGGATGCTGGCTTGCTCTCCCCAGTTGTGCAGGGGTTGTTCTCCCCACGTGGGGTGGTTCCTGGGTGACTCCTGTAAGGTGCGTAGGGCTCCTTGGACCCGTCTGGAACCCCGGTCCCCAACCACAATGGGCTGCAGAGCTCTACTCTGGGAGCAGTGTGCTTGCCGTGCAAAGCAGCAGCGAAACATCTGGACTGAAGCACGTTGCTTTGGGGAAGGGTTGTCAGCTGAGGCCCGTGCAGCAGAGGTGGCCCCAAAGGCAACTCCAGCCCCAGGGCAAGCTGCACGCTTCAGTGATGGTGGGTTTTGGGAAGCTCCTGGATTAAATCATAGATGGTAGCGTCTTGGGGTACTGTAGCTTGAACTGTGGCTGCTTAGTTGTGTTCAGGCACACGTTTGTGGCTTAGGTGCCTTAAATGCTTTACTGCATCTGGGCCTTGGGCTCCGTTTTCCCTTTCTGCATGTATCTGTCTAAAAGGACTGATTTAGGATTTAATGTCTGTAAAACACGTGCACAGAAGGCCGCGTTGTGTGGAGCTTTGTAATAATTAGAAAGGGATCCGCAACTGGAAGCTGAGTTTGCTCGATGTGAGTGCTGTTCAAGTGAGAACTCGTGTTACGAAAAAATGTATTAAATTATCATTGTTATATTTTTTTGTGCCAGCTGAAAAGACTATTTCCAGGCTTATTTTCCCCAGCTTTCCATCAGCTCTCCTATGCTAAAGCTCACCACCTTTTTTCCAGTCTTCTTGCCCAGTCACTTCTGTGAGTCCTTCCTCAAATGAATCCAGTTATTTGATATCTGCTTTTTAAGCAAATCCTGTCTATTTAGACCAAAAGGATGTAGAAGGCTACACACAGACTGAATAAGTGGGTGAACTGGAAGGAGTTGGAGTCTGTGACGGGGGGATCTGATGAACAGTTATGTCTTCAGTGGACCCTGTCAGTAGCACAAGGCACAGGGACAATCCTAGTAAAGCAAGCCTGGAGGAGTTTCGTCACCTGACTTTATTTCAGCATGTGGGGTTTGCGCTCCAGTTCAAAGGTCTCTTGGGTTCTGGTTCTGTCATACAAATAATAAACCAAATGAAATTGTAATAAATTTCTAATTGTAATAAATAAATTGTATCTTTTTCAATTAATGAAATGTATCGAGCTCTCCATGCAATGAAGGGACATAGAGATTTTTAAGACCCTAAATTGCGTTACAGCCCTGCAAACAAGTTCTAGTTTTCTTTATTTATGTGTGTTTGTTCAAATGCCTGCACTCATGATTGAAGCAATTAGTTTTACAAGTCCAGTAACGCCTTGTGAGCTGCTTGGGAACGATCAGAAATTAAAGTATCTGTTTTAAGTTTTGTTGTTGCTGTTTTGAATGGGGCTTTTGGAGAATCGTTTTTGCTTCACATAGAGTTACCCACCCTTGTGACTGCTTAATGAAATACCCTGCAATGCAGCTTTACTTAGCTAAAACTGGGAATATTGAAATGGTTCGTTTTGCAAATTGCGCAAGGAGGTACTGATTTCAAGCCATGAAAATAATAATTCTTTTAGAAATAGCTTATCTTTGTGGCTATCTATCTCCTTACTGCGTTTTCTTTTCTTTCCATAGGAAAAATTAACCCAGGAGTGTGTATTCAGAGAGCAGTTTGAAGAAAACTGGTATAACACGTATTCATCAAATCTATATAAACACGTGGACACTGGAAGACGATACTACGTTGCGTTAAATAAAGATGGGACTCCAAGAGAAGGGACTAGGACTAAGCGGCATCAAAAATTTACACATTTTTTACCTAGACCAGTGGACCCTGAGAAAGTACCGGAACTATATAAGGATATTTTAAGCCAAAGTTGACAAAGACAATTCCTTCACTTGAGCCCTTAAAAAGTAACCACTATAAAGGTTTCATGCGGTGGGTTCTTATTGATTAGCTGTGTCATCACATCAGCTCCACTGTTGCCAAACTTTGTCGCATGCATAATGTATGATGGAGGCTTGGATGGAACATGCTGATTTTATTCTGCACTTAAAGGTTTGTCCTCCTGGAGGAGAGCCTATGCCCACTCGCTTGATTTAGTACGAGAGGGAGCGTGAGAGAGTGAGTGCGAGAGAGAGAGAGAAAGGGAGGGGATGAATGGGAGTGAGAGCGCGAGAGAGAGGAGCCAAGGGGAGGAGGAGGAGGAGGAGGAGGAGGA